CGCACGCCTCCGCCGGCGGAAGTGACCCGCCGCTGCCCCGGAAGCGCAGCGCGCCGTCGTCCGGCGGCGGTGCCCGGCCTGCAGGCTGCGGTCGAGATGCCCGGGGCCGCGGCGAGAGGCTCGGAGCTGTCCGAGGCGATCGAGAGTTTCGTGGAGACCCTGAAGCGGGGCGGCGGGCAGCGGCGCTCCGAGCACATGGCCCGGGAGACCCTGGGCCTGCTGCGCCGGATCATCACGGGCCACCGCTGGAGCACGGCTGGTGGGCGCCCCGGCCGGCGCGCGTCGCGTGCCCCTCGTGGCCGACCCGAGGCTCGCGTTGCCCGGGACTCGGCGCGCGCCGGCCCGCTCACCCGCTCTCTCCGGCTTTAGGGGAACTGATGGAGTTGATGCGCAGGGAGGGCAGGAGGATGGCGGCCGCGCAGCCCTCCGAGACCACCGTGGGAAACATGGTGCGGAGAGTGCTCAAGATCATCCGCGAGGAGTACGGCAGGTCTGGCTCCTGGTCGGCCCCGGTTGGACCTAGGGACGCCCTGCGTGTTGCCGGTCGTGTCTGACGCCGCAGTGTCGCCGAGCGACCGACCGCAGCCCCTCCCCACCTCACTCTTCGGTCCTGTCGCCCCCGTAGACTGCATGGACGCAGCGACGAGAGCGACCAGCAGGAGTCCCTGCACAAGCTCCTGACCTCCGGAGGCCTCAGCGAGGATTTCAGCCTACATTATGCTCAGCTGCAGTCCAACATCATTGAAGCGATTAATGAGCTGCTGGTGGAGCTGGGTAAGAGCTGATCGCTGGGTTGGACGGGTTGCAGGCACATGGGCAAACAGAAGCCCTTGGAAGTTGTTTTTCAGCAGGGACGGGTGAAGCAGGTAGCCCGTCTCAGGTAACCTCTATACCTACAGACCCAACTCTCCGTAGACTTTTTGTGTGGGGGGGGGTGGGGGTGGGGGTGGGAATTGAACTCGGGACCTTGTGCTTGTTAGGCCGGCGCTGTGCCGCTGAGTTACCGCCCCAGCCCTCTCCATACTTTTTGTTGTTGTTGTTCTGGTGGTACCAAGGATCAAACTCTGGATTTTGCGCTTGCCAGGCAAGCACTTCTAACGCTGAGCTATCTCCCCAGCCCTCAGTAGACTCTTGGTGGGGTTAGTTTTCATGGTGAAGAAAACCAACTCTACAGCCATACCTTACAGGGCTCCCTTCACTGATGCTGTTTAACTTTTATACACGAGCACATGCTACCTTCATCCTCATTTTTGGGGCCCAAGACACCTGCAGAGACTCTCAGGCACAGAAGCTAGGTCCTGGCTGCTCTCCAGCCACAGCTTTGGGACGCCTCAGGTTTTCTCCTCTCAGGTTGAGGTGCTGTGGCCAACGTGGCGGAGTTGTTGTTTCAGGAGGGGATCTCTGTTTAGTCCACAGGCAGCATTTAGCATTCCCCAGATTGCTGTTTCTACCCTGAATTCACTGTATTCAGGAGCCAATGTAGGGGGCTGGTGGAGTGGTAGGGAGATGGCTGATGAGTGCTGCTGGTGGAAAGGGGCGGAGGTCCTGGGCTGAGAACCTGAGTGGCGGAAGAGCTCAGAGCAGGGGGGCTTTGGGAATTGGGATGTTTCCCTTTAAGCGGATCATCCCAGGACGAAGAGCATGTGGTGACAACATCCCTTTCCGTGCTGCTGTTGTCATGTCTCTCTGCACTGGAGTGTGGCAGCTTGATATTTTCCTTGCAAAACTATTCTTTTTTTTTTTTTTTTTAAAATTTTTTTATAAACAGATAGCAATGAGACAGTTTCAAATCAAATCGGAAGTACAGTTTCAACAAATAATACACTTAATATATTCTTCTTAGTGGTTAATTGCTGTACAAGATGCGGACTTGTGATCCTGTTTACAGACACCATTAGAACAAATCATTCTATTCATTAAGAGAATGCAACTATATATCTATCCCAACCACTTTGAATACACAGATACAAAATGGACATTCATCGGTATACCCCATTTTTTCTAAGTTCCGTTATTGAATATTATAGGTGTGTAAACTCAGCAAAATATTCTAAAAGAGTCCAGTAGCCCATAATAGCATTGGGTCTTCTGTTTAACTGGCAATGTCAGAAATTATTGACCTGAGTCCCCCACAGCTCAACTTAACAGCATGGCTTTATTTCTTATATTTCGACTTCATACTTTTCTACTGGATGGTTAAGACCAAGGTAAAGCAGGACCTGTGCAACAAGAGCAAAACTATTCTTGCAGAAGGTACAACGGAGAACATTGCAGCCCAGGCTCTGGAGCACATCCACTCCAACGAGGTGATCATGACGATTGGGTTTTCGAGAACGGTAGAGGCCTTCCTTAAAGAGGCCGCCCGAAAGAGGAAATTCCATGTCATTGTGGCAGAGTGCGCTCCTTTCTGCCAGGTATGGGGACTGCTTGAGTTGTGAAGAAAGAAGGAAGACAGTAGGGAGGGAGGGATGGAGTCTATGCCAATTTTGAATTGATAGGGAAGACATTGAGACATTAAAGATAAACCATCAAGGGGATTGTCAGTTGTTCATCCAGTGAGCAGCTTAAAGCTCACTGGTTTAAGAAAGATGGGTGGGCTGCTGGGTCTCAGGAGAGAAATGTCAGTTCTTTTCTCAATCAAAATAGAGTATACCTTGAAAATGCAATGAGTAGTGCTTCTGATCTCACTTGGTCCTTAATTAAATAATAGTCTCAACAAAGAAATATGTAAGGATGCAGGATGTTGTAAAATAATGAGCCCGAACCTGTCTTATTAGCTATGCTTGATTATGCAAGCTAGTTTTATTTCTGGTTTTGTGGCCACTCCAGGGCTGCTGTGGAGTAGTATGTATTTATTAGCTTCCCCTGGGCTTTGCTGTACCTCAACACAAAATGCTGATCTTAGCCAGAAAAATGAGTCCTGTGTTGCAGATTGTGTGCTAGCCATGTCTGTGTCCTGGAATCCCCAGATCCAGTCATCTGAGAGCTCCTTTCACAGTCTGCCACTTTCTCTCCCGGCAACAGCCTTTCCCTCCTGTTGCAGGGTCATGAAATGGCTGTCAATTTGTCCAAAGCAGGAATTGAGACAACTGTCATGACTGATGCTGCTATTTTTGCTGTAATGTCAAGAGTCAACAAGGTAGGTGTTTTTGGAGTTAATGTGTGGAGTTCATGAAGATTATACTGAAAAAATACCTATTTCTATCAAAACTATATACTTAGGCTCTTAAAATTTATTACCGAATCCCCCCCCATGCTTATCACTGTCTGTTTAGAGGAATAGGCTTGAAATTTAGCCCTCGCACTGAAGCCTGGCTAAGTTTCACACGCTAGAGATGGGTCGAGGAGTGTGGTCTTGGCAGGTGGTAAACGACATGGTGCTTTGGCTGCTCGGGAGGAACAGCACAGAGCTTCCCAGACAGGGTGAAGTGCAGTCTGGATTGCAGAATCGTGGCCATGTCGTGCTGTCGTCCTTTGCCTGGGGAGACAGGAATGGGTAGTGCTGAGCCTAGGGCCACTTCTCGGGGAGGCCTGAGCACTCAGCCGTCACCCCGCGGGTGCCTCCTGTTTTTCTTCCTGTCACGAAGGTGATCATCGGCACCAAGACCATCCTGGCGAATGGCGCCCTGAGAGCTGTGACAGGAACTCACACTCTGGCACTGGCAGCGAAGCACCACTCCACCCCGCTCATCGTGTGCGCGCCCATGTTCAAGCTTTCCCCACAGGTGGGCCCAACTCTGCCTGCGTGCCGGGCCCGGCTGGCCTGGGGTGAGCCATATGGGTGCAGTGCCAGCACCCTAGTGCCCGCCATTTTGTGAAAATGCAGAGCTGGTTGCAGCGAGGCTCATAGAATCAGCTTTCTGCCTTGTCAGAGGGCCTGGCCTCTGCAGCCTGCATGCAGGCAGTTGCTAAGTGGAGAGCTGTCGCAAGAGATGAGAGCTACTCGCATTGAAAACAACCTATTTATAGGTCGGTGTGTTTTTTTAATTAAGGTGAAATTCATGTAACATACAATTAGCCATCTTACAGTGTACAATTTGGTGGTGTTTAGTACATGCAGTGCATGTGTAACCACCACTTGCTAGCTTCAGAACTGTTTGTCATCCCAGAGAAGCACGCTGTACCCTTTAGTGCCCCCCACTCTGGGCTGCTTGTCTGAGGCCACGATGAAGCTGCTGCCTGGCTCTGTGGATTGGCCACTTTGGAGTATTTTAATATAAAGGAATCATACAATATGTGACTTTTGTGTCTGACTTTTATCATTTTGCAGTTTTCAGGATTCTTCTGTATTATAACATGGGTCAGAATTTCTTTGTAAGGTTGAAAAATATTCCACTGTGTGGGTATGTCAGAGTTTATGCATTTGTTGACAAACATTTGGGTTTGTTCAACCTTTTGGCTTTTGTGAATAATGCATTAAGCATTTGTGTGTAAATTTTCTGTGTGAATGTAGATTTTTAAAATTCTCTTGGGTATGTATGTAGATGGAGAATGTTGGGTATCTTTTCTTCATTTCTAGTTCCCCAATGAAGAAGATTCATTTCACAAGTTTGTGGCTCCTGAAGAAGTCCTCCCTTTTACAGAAGGTGCGTGTGGGTGGTCTTTGTTCTGGTTTTCAGTAGGATTGAACTTAGGTTGTGTTGCTCTAAAATCATACTTCTCATGAGGATGGTTAGCATGAGCAGCTAAGAGGATTCTAGTGCTTGGGGAGCTGCAGTAGGCCATGTTGATTTGTGTTGAGCTTAGTATGTGTTAACTGAGTTGTTGGAGGTCTGTGGGGGCTAGGGTCAGCGAGTATTGACTGGGCTTGGCTTTGTAGACCATAACCAAGTTGGAAAAAAGGACCTGTTTTCAGTTCTGTAGGGAGTCGCATTGATGACTACGCTGCCAAAGGAAGCAGGCTCTGAAGTGTTACTACTTGGAAAACTTGCTGTAGCCTGGACACCCTTGTGTGTTGGGGTCTTTTCCTCTGGCTGATTCTGAAGACAGCAGCTCCACTGCTGCCTCCTCAGCAGTTAGGCCGGCCTCCCAGTGAGGAGGGGCTGGCACCACAGCAGGACAGTGAGCAGAGTGCGTGAGGCTCCCGCAGAGCTTACCTTTTGTTGTAGGTAGCAGAGAAGAGGTCAGGTTCTGGGTAGTTTTAGGAAGAAAACAAGTAAGGGTTATGTGATAGAAAATGGCTAAGTTACTACCTAGAAATGGGGGTCTTACGAGGGGACATTGTGGCTGTCCTGAATGGACAGAACCTGCCGTTGACAGGCCATGGCCCACCATGTGCGTGCTAGGCCCTGGTGCCAAGGCCTGCGATGAGCTTGTGCGCTGCCAGTTGGACCAGGTGGCCCCATGGCTGGACAGTTAACAAGTGTCTTGAAGGGAGTTGTAAATTATGATTAGGATGGGATGCACTGGGGCCAGCTCTTAGACTTACTTGGATTTTATCCAAAGGACTGTGCACAGCATGGCAGGGTCACGATCTGGAGTCACCTAGTTTGTGTCGTGTCTGCTTTCCTTTGGTAGCGAGTACACCTGCGTTGCTGAGGCTGCACCACGTGCTCCTGAGCAGCTGTACCAAGGGCCTCAGCTCGGTCTTTAGCACTTGTGTGATTACCTTGCAGGCGATGTCCTGGAGGAGGTCAGCGTCCACTGCCCTGTGTTCGACTATGTCCCCCCGGAGCTCATCACCCTCTTCATCTCCAACATTGGTGGGAACGCACCTTCCTATGTCTACCGCCTGATGAGTGAGCTCTACCACCCTGACGACCACGTGCTGTGACTGGCACTCACGCTTGGAGCAAGTCTCGGCAGATGAGCTGCAGGGGACTCGAGCCGCAGCTTCAGGGCCTCCCTGCAGCTGATAGTCAACCTGAAGCAGCTGCACACCAGTCCCTGGTACAAGGCTCCTGTCCAGGACTCTTTCTTGCCTTTCAGGGCTTAACAGAGCAGTGGGGCTGAAACTGTTGATTTTGGAGCCTCTTGGTGACCTGGCTGCATCTGTTTCAGGAACCTCAACTTTCTGGTTCACTGGTGTGGTAAGCACCACACAGCTGGGATACAAGTTTTACTCAGAAGTGGCTCCTGCACCGTTTCCTGTGCTGTGCCAATAAAAGCGTCTGCCAAGTTCCTGAGTTTATTTATTGTCCTCAGCTCCCTCTGAGCCAAGGTAGCAGCAGGACCTTTTGTGTGTTCTTCAGGCGCAGGGACCGGGTTTGATCCCCAGGCCCATGGGGCCGGCCCCGCCCCCAGGGTGCGCTGGGACGGCAGTTGAGACTGGGCATGGTGGCGGGCACCTGTAATCCCAGCACTTGGGAGGCTGTAAACAGGAGGATCGCTGTGTGTCTGATCTAGTAATGAGACCCTGAAAACTCTGTAGACCCTTCCCTAAAACAGAAAAAAAAGTAAAATTTAGGGGTGTAAACGAAAGTATTTAATTTTATTTTTTATTTTTTTAAAGTTTATTTATTGTGTGTGTGTGTGTATGTATGGCCAGCTCAGCCCACCAGGGGGCGGGGCTGGCTGGCATGTGGTGCTGGGGGATCGAACCGTGGTCCCTGTGCTTTGCCAAGCTTGTTCCAAGTAGGTGCTTTAGACCACTGAGCCATCTCTCCAGCCCCAAACTTTTTGGTTTTTGTTTTGTTGGTTTTTTTTTTTTTTTTGGTGGAACCAGGAATTGAACTCAGGCCCCTGTGCTTGCCAGGGAAGCGCTTATTCCACTGAGCCATCTCCCCGGCCCCTTAATTTCCTTTTATAATTCATTGGAATTACATCTTGTTCAAGTCCCTGAAGATGATGTTTCTAGGAACTCTGATCACCAGTCACTTAAAAGGACACCCTCCGACCTTGTGGGCACTTGGGAGTCCCTCCAAGTTCCACAGGGGCCTTCTTGTTTCCTGTTCCCCCCCACCCCCTGAACCAGGAATGGAACTCAGGCCCCTGCACTTGCCAGGCAAGTGCTAATTCCACTGAGCCATCTCCCTGACGCCTTGTTTCCTGTTACCAGGACAGTAAACTGGTATAATGTTCTAAAAGGCAACTTGGAACCTGCCCTTTTATAATTTGTACAACCACACAAAGACAAGCTCCTTGTAGCAGTTATGTCACAGCCTAAGTAGCAGTAAGGGAAGCTGAAGCATGACATCTGTACTCTGGAGCACGATGTGTCCAGCGTGATAAGCGTCCAAAGAAAGGTGTGAGAGCAGTTGGGTTGAAAATATTTTGGCTGGCCTGCCCAGAAGTTCATTGAGGCGAGATACTAGTATCTTTTTTTTTGCTCCGAATGCCTTCAGGGCAGGTTTGGCTGGCTTGAGTTGTGGGGATCGAACCACAGCAACCTGAGCCTGACTGCTTTGTTGAAGCAGCCACTTGAAGAACTGAGCTAAGGGGCAGGCCCCCAAAATGGCAGGACTTTTTTTTTTTGGAGACCTGAACATGCCTTCAGGGCATTTCTGGTTTGGCAGGAGTATCTGGGTTTGAACCAGTGCAACTTGAGCCTCACTGCTTTCTTAAGCAGGCACTTAAAGAACCGAACTAAAGGGTGGGCCCCCGTTACTAGTATTTTTAATTCAGGATATTGCATATTAAAAAAAATCCCAATTTCTTGGCTTTTCTTCAAAATTCAGATTTGTTAATTCCTGTTCCACATTTGCAAATGGCAAGAGTTAGCTGCAGTTAGTTAGCACCTGATTCCATTAGATGCACAATCCCTAGAAAAAAATTTTTTTTAAATTTTAGGGCAGGGTTTATAGGGTGTTCAGGGTCTCACTACTAGGTCAGACTCAGTGATCTGGCTGTTTACAGCCTCCCAAGAGCTGGGATTACAGGTGCATGCTAGCACACCCTGGGGGCGGGGGCAGCATAGCAGGCCCAGGGATCAAACCTGGGACCCTGCTTGCAGGCGCTTTAATCCACTGAGCTATTTGGCTGGCCCTGAAAACTAACTTGTAAATGCTGTCTGCTTAAATCTTGTGGACAGCTTCACCGTCACCTCTAAAGAATGGGATTGGGGCTGGGAGATGACTCAGTAGAATAAGTGCCTGCCTGGCAAGCACAAGGTCCTGAGTTTAATCCCTGGTTCTGCCAAAAAGGGGGGGGGGCCTGCCTGCCTGCCTGCCCCTTAGCTCAGTTCTTTAAGAGGCTGCTTCAACAAAGCCATCAGGCTCAGGTTGCTGTGGTTCAATCCCCACAACTCAAGCCAGCCAAACCTGCCCTGAAGGCATTCGGAGCAAAAAAAAAAAAAAAAAAAAAAAAAAGGGGGATAAAGTAAGGTGCGATGGCCTGTGCCCATAATGTCAGCACCCTGGAAAGCTGGAGTAAGATGACTACAGGTTTGGGTCCAATCTGGGGCAATTTAGTGACTTAGTTAGTTGTCTCAAACAACATTTTTCAAAGAGCTGCAGTGTAGCTCAATGCAAAGGCCCTGGGGTCAAGTCCCAATATGAAGGAAAAGGAAGAAGTGTGAGACAGATTTGTAAGGAAGTGATTATATTCTGTTACGAAGTTAGAAAAACTGCAAAACTATACATAGCATGACCCTTAGTCTATTAAGACCAAAAAAAAAAATATATATATATATATATATATATATTTTTTTTTTTTCATATTCATGCATAGGGAATGAACTATTTGGTAGAAAAACACCAGAAGGGCAAGCAGGAGGTCTTAAAGTTCTCATGGTCTGCCCTGCTTAGGAAACTGGCCAAGCAGGGGCCCCAGGGCATACTCACACACGGCCTCCTCCCTGTTACCGCAGCCTCTGGGGAGATGATTCTGCACGTTGGACAAACTCGCAGCCCCGAGGATTTGAAGAGATGTTTGACAGTCACGCTTCACTCAGTTACAAACAGGTCATGAGGCAAAGAAAGGCCTTGCTCCAATCCTGCTGGCAATGGGTCTGTACCTTGGGGTTCACACTGTCTTCATGGGAGAACCAGGACTGAAGCCATGTGACTGAGCCTGGCTCACTGGGGCTTCAGTCTGTCAGTTACTTCGTAAAGCATCTACAACCCCGTGCTGGGGGCCTGGCCCTAGCTCAGGCCTTTAAGTGGCTGCTTCCACAAAGCTGTCAGCCTCAGGTTGCTGGAGTTCGAACCTCACACCTCTCCAGCTGGCCAAAAGAGCCCTGAAGGCATTCGAGGAACAACAAAAAAAAAGCCTTATACCCCGTGCTTTCTCAGTGAAGCAGCTTACGGCTACCACGGGGCTGGGGAGATAGCTCAGTGGAGATAAGTGCTTGCCTGGCAAGCACACTGTCTTGAGTTCAACCCCTGGTACCACAAAAAAAAAAAAAAAAAAAAAAAAATTACATGAGGGAATTAAAAAAAAAAACAAAAAAACCCAGCAGCTCACGGCTACCAATTACAAGCCATTGTCTCCTCTGAAGGCACCAATTCTGACAGCAATTCACTTGGGTCCAGCTGTGTGGGTTTGGAAGAACAGCAGTGAGTCAAGGAATTTAAGTCTGTTCTGGCACCAGATATGCTTTAGAATACTGTCCTGTATGCATCTTTGTCTACGTGTCTAAAGTTAGCACCAACATCCTTCCCAGGCATAACCAACAGAAGAAGGCTGAAGGGGAGTCGCTGGCTGAGTCAGCTCTTCCAGTGGCCTTGAACAAAACAGCAGGAATGTGCACTCTAAGAACCTCAGGTAAGGTTCCACAAGGCCCACTTTTTCCTGTTTGAGGGGCAAGAGGAAAGAGGAAAGGTGACTTGAACAGGGTGATGCAGAACTTCTGTATCAACCTCCTTATCTCTCTCTTGCCTTGTTGACAGGACCCAGGAAAAACTCTTATAGCTTGGAGAGAAGGAACAGAAGTAGGGTTACATGGATGCAAAAAAGTCTTCTTGAAAATAGTAAATGAACTGAGTAGCTAACTGCAGTCTCTAAAGATGCTTTTTCCCACGGTTTCTATCTCCCGAGTTGGGTGGAGGGAAGGAAAGGCACAGTTCTTGGAACTCAAATAAGGAACAGAAATTCCTAATTTAGCCTCAGAAGGGAAGTTTTTGAAAAATACTCTACCAAGAAAAACTTCAGTGAAAAATGATATCTCAGAGAAAGAAAGGCCAGCACACATAAGATTGTAAGCTCCCAGATGTGCCTCAGACCTTCTTGCAGCAGTTGTCAGCATCCGTGCAGGGTGAACCAAGGCTGCCCACCACCAGCCCCCACCTGGGCGCGGCAGGGCAGAGCTACGATGCTCAGCAGGAGGGAGGCCGGCAGGGCACACCTACCGGCCCGTGCTCCGCCTTGGCCATCGGTGCTGCCCAGGCCCGGCCCTGCCCTTTCTGTCTGGCCACAGGGCGCATGATAGAGATCCCGTTCTTGTAGTTCACGGGCTCCAGGCCCTGCTCGGTTCTGCACCAGCCCTGGAGCCACTCAGTGCAGGCCAGGCTGCCTCTCCTCGCTTTCCAACTCTAGTAACTTTTTTTTCCTATCCAGAATTGAACTCAGGGCCTTGTACTTGCCAGGCAGATGCTGAGCTGCTGAGCTGTGTCCCCAGCACATAATCCTGTGGTATAGCTGTTTTCCCCTCTCCTTTCCACAGCCAGCTGGACTTAGTAGTCTGTGTATCTGGGAGTAGCTACCATATCCTATCCTGTTTTCTTCTCCCTGACCAAAGCCACATGCACCTTTATTTCTCAATAAATTTGAAGTTACTGAAAAAGAAACTCAGGAATGGCCATACTTCACATCTCCTCTCAAGTTTTGCTCTGAAGTTACTAACACCTCTACCAATCAGAGTCTAATAAGGTTGAAGCACTACGTTTACAAACTAATACATCCTTAATAAATTAAAAATACATTATATGGGGCTGGTGATATAGCCCAGCGGTCTAAAGCGCCTGGTTAGGCCAGCTTAGGCAAGCGCAGGGACCGCAATTTGATCCCTGGTAACACATGCCATTCCAACTCTGTCCCCAGGGCAGGCTGAGCTGGCCACACACAAAGAAACATTATATGGGGCAGCAGAAGTAACAGTGGGACATATGTGCCATTTGTGCCTACTGCTTTACTAGGAAAGGGAGGCCAGCTATCCAGGAGGACCTATGATACACTAACACAGTGTGTGCAGTAAGATTCAGGGTACAGGCCAGCCTCTGCCACAAACACACACAGAAAAAAATAGTATATACAAAGTCACGGGCCAGGGAAATGGCTAGTGAAGTAAGTGCTTCCCTGGCTTTAGGGCCAGGGAGATGGCTCAGTGGAATAAGTGCTTCCCTGGCAAGCACAAGGGCCTGAGTTCAATCCCCGGTTCCACAACAAACAAACAAACAAACAAAAAAATCCCTCACAAATATACAGAAATTCCCAGTAAGTGCTAGTTACTTATCTTTGTTACTGAAGTCAGAAAACTTGAGTATCACTCTTGGCTTTATTGCTTATTTACTGTATGATCTTAAATCACTTAATATTCTTAGTTTCACCTTTGTAAAATGGGAATAATACCTTTTCTTATGTGCTGTCAGAAAAATTGAAATGAAGTGCTGGGGATGTATGTCAGTGCTAGACTATTGACCTAGCATGTGTGAGAGTTTAGGTTCCATCCAGTACTAAAAAAAATTCAAATAACACAAGGTATATATGGTAAGTTATTTTATAAAGCTGAAAATTGCTGGGCGTGGTGGTATATGCCTGTGATCCAAGCACTGAGGCTGAGACAGGAGGATGGTAAGGCTGAGCCCAGATGGGACAACTTATCAGAACTGTGTCTCAAAATATTTTTAAAATGGGTACATTTCTTCAATTCCCAGTAGTGAAGAAAAACCAGAAAAAAATGGCTATCTTGAAGAAATCAACTAATAAATGCTGGAGGAGCTGCGGAGAAAAAGGGACCCTTCTCCACTGTTCGTGGGCATATAGGCTGGTACAACCACTATGGAAATCAGTGTGGACACTCCTCAGAAAACTAGGTCTGGAAATCCCATTTAATTCAGCTACTCCCTTTCTGCGTATTTTCCCAAAAGAACTAAAGACATCATACCACAGCACCCATGTTTACAGCAACACAATGTGTCATAGCCAAATCTTGGAAACAACCCAAATGCCCATTACCTGGGGAATGGATGAAAAAGATATGGTATTGTTATACAATGGAGTATTACTCGGCTATAAAGACAAACTTGAGGCCTTTATAGGTAAATGCATGCAACTAGAGGCTATACTCATAAGTGAAACAAATCAGACCCACATGTGTAAATATTGGTATTGTCTCCCTAGTGCAAGAACCTGAATAAAATCTGCAAAGTATAATACATACAGTGAAATGGAAAGAAACAACATAAGGACTAAACAACAAAGATGAGGGAAAGGAGAAACGGAAGGGGGAATAATCATGCAAGTATATATACAGGATGGCTGAGTTGACTGTACTAATAATGTCCATCAGTTTTTTGAAAATATCAGTTAATGTTTAGAATTTTCACTTTGACTAAGTCTATGCTGATATCTGCGATCTGAGCAACTACACTGAGGACAGCAATGTGTAATACAAAGACCATGGTTGAGGGCTGGCCAGATAGCTCAGCACCTGCTTAGGCAGAGCACAGCGGCTGGGGTTCAATCTCAGGTGTGCCGGGCCAGCCCTGCCCGTGGGGCATGCTGAGAAGGCGATTGAGACTGGGTGCGGTAGCATGCGCCTGTAATCCCAGCACTCGGGAGGCTGCAGAATATGAGTCCAATCTATTCTGCAGACCTTGTACTAAATTTAAAACACACAAACAAAAATACACAGTTGTTCTTCTAAATATGAACCATTTCTAATGTCTTATCAATTATTATTATACTCCTTATAAAATAATTTTTTTAATCAGTCTTTTTTTTTTTGGCAGAACCGGGTATTAAACTCAAGCCCTTGCACTTCCCAAAGAAGCATTTATTCCACTGACCCTTTTCTCCGGCCCCAAAATAATTTTTGAATTTATTTATTTATTTATTTATTTATGTGTGTGTATGTGTTTTTGTGGCCAGCTCAGCCCACCAGGGGGCGGGGCTGGCTGGCATGTGGTGCTGGGGGATTGAACTGCGGTCCCTGGGCTTTGCTAAGCTTGTTCTAAGTAGGTGCTTTAGACCACTGAGCCATCTCGCCAGCCCTAATTTTTGTAAAAAGTAAAAAATACAAGAAAAAAATTAAGGTATATTGAAAGCAAGTGGTGAATTGTCAACTATTCATCCAATCTTGCATACATATATCTGTTAATCTGAGCAACAGATTTGACAATAAAAATATATAATATAAGGGCCGGGGAGATGGCTCAGTGGAATAAGCGCTTCCCTGGCAAGTGCAAGGGCCTGAGTTCAATCCCCGGTTCCACAAAAAAAAAAAAAAAAAAAAAAAAAAAAAAAAAAAATATATATATATATATATATATAACCATTGTTTTGTTGTGGCTGGCTCAGCCCACCCTGGGGTGCAGCTGGCGCAGCATGTGGTGCCAGGCATAGAACTGTGGTCCCTGAGCACTTGCCTAAGCTTGCTTAAGCAGGCGCTTTAGACTGCTGAGCTATCTTGCTGGCCCGTAACAACCATTGTTAATTTGCTATTCTTGATTTGAAAATCTGTAACATTTGTATTGTTGTATGTCACTCTGTTTCTGTCTTTGTTTCTGCTATTTTTCCTTTTGTTTTTATTTTTACTCTTTAAAATGAAAATAAAGGGCTGGGGAGATGGCTCAGTGGAATAAATGCTTCGCTGGCAAGTGCAAGGGCCTGACTTCAATCCCTGGTTCCACAAATATAAATAAGTAAGTAAGTAAGTAAATGAAATAAAATAAATAATTTTAAATGAAAGAAAAATTTAAAGTACCATATTACTGTATTGATTTCAATAATTCCTATTATCTGTTAGAACAGTGAATGTAACTTTGAATGTACTTTGTTCTTACACTTGTTAAAAGCTCTAACTAGCTTTTTTCATCATCCGGTTCCAGGCACTTGGTCACCGCGGTTTACAGTGCAGTTACGGCCAAGTCCAAGAATCACACCACGCACAACCAGTCCCCAAAATGGCACAGAAATGGCATCAAGAAACCTCGGTCACAGAGATACGAATCTCTGAAGGGGGCAGATCCCAAGTTCTTTAGGAACATGTGTTTTGCCAAGAAGCACAACAAGAAGGGCTTCAAGAAGATGCAAGCAAACAGTGCCAAGGCCGTGAGTGCACGCACCGAGGCTATCAAGGCCCTCGTCAAGCCCAAGGAGGTCAAGCCCAAGATCATCCCAAAGAGAGTAAACCGCAGGCTCGCTCGACTTGCCTATATTGCCCACCCCAAGCTTGGGAAGCATATCCGTGCCCGCATTGCCAAGGGTCGCAGGGCTTGCCGGCCAAAGGCCCAGGCTCCAGCCAAGCCTGAGGCTCCAGCTTCTGCTCCAGCCCAGGCTCCCAAAGGTGCCCAGGCCCCTATGAAGGCTCCTCAGTAAAAGCCTCTTACTGCTGAGGTGAAAACAGAAGGACTAGGGTGCCCTCTGTGGGGGACTGGTGTCCTCCTGTGCTCTTTGTACAAATAAACCTGAGGCAGGAAAAAAAGAAAGCTCTAACTAGCAATAAAAGTAATTTATCAGATATTTTTGGCTAATAGGCTGCTTTATGCTGATGCAGGCTACTGAATTTATAAATTATTAAAATAGCGTTACTATATTGCTTGAGTCAGGCTAGGCAGAAACACCAGTTATATAATTCACAGAGAACTTTCTAATCATCTGTGGTTCTCAGAAAAACATTGTAGACTAAGATTGCAAATAGCAAAACCTTTTTGTAAACCCACCCCATCATTCTAATAAGAGGTCTAGTAAAAAAAAGAACAAACCCGGGGGCCGTGGAGATAGCTCAGTTGAATAAGTGCTTGCCTGGCAAGTGCAAGGGCCTAGGTCCAATCCCCAGCTCCCCCCACCAAACAAACAAACAAACAAACAAACAAACAAAACAAAAAATACCACCCTGGGATTTGGTGTGGTCTAAAAGATTTTCCAAATTTCTGGAACAGGTTTCTTTAACGCAGCTCCTGAGAACAAGAGTAAGGTCCCAGCCAGCCTCCCTGGGCCTTGTGCAGCCCTGGAAATACCCTCCTCTCTGCGTCACAGCTCCCAGTGGATGAAAACTCTCCTCAGGGACCTGGCAGGAGAAGCCACTCGGCAGCAGCAGGGCTCAGCACCTGCCCGAGGCCCGCGCTCGGGCAGGCAGTGCTTTCATTGCTAAGAGTCAGCCCGGGGCCGCTGGCAGACGCGTTCTTCCGTGTACACAGCTGCTTCCTGGACCAAGACAGGAGGGAACGCACTTCAGTAACATAACAGCCCATGTAAGCAGGCTGCTCGAGCAACACGGAAGCGGACGTGGTCACGGCAGCATCCTCCCAACTGTGCAGCGCCTTCCGACTGGACAATGCACACTGCTGTTGTTATAACAAACACTGCCAAAAACAAAACAAAACACTGGCAGCTGTTCACTCTATTCCTAGTCAGCTGGGTACTATTATGCACACTTAAGTCATCTGAAAAGGTAAGACACAGATTAAGAGTGGCACGGCGGGCATTTGCAGGCATTTCAGGCTTGGGTGGGCCCAGGTCGAATCATAAGGCTTTTATAGCTATTACGTTCAGTAATAGAATCAGGACACAATTTGAAAAAAAAAAAAAAAAAGCAGTAGAATATTGTATCTGGCTAGGCTGAAAGATTAAATGCTGCCCTTTTGATCAGATAAAAACTTTCATATAAACACTTCAGAAAGTACAAAAATCATATTTTTAAAAAGAAGTTCATGGTATATTTACTGGTTTGGGATATTCAGAATATAAACATTAGCCTATTACGGTTTTAAAAACCAATAAAATAAACCAACACCTCCCTCTCCAGGAACTGGGCAATTCCTCAGTCTTACCTCTGTGGGGATCTTGGACCCGGGGGAAGGAGGCGGCAGGAGGGAAGCACAGCCCAGGGAAAGCACGGCAGCTCCAGGGCTCCCACCAGCTCAGTCACACAATCACCAAAGTGTCCCAAGGCACAGCTCTCAAACACAGGCCAACCCGTCATTACATGTTATCACTAAAGAAGTTACAAAAGGCAGGTATTTCATGGCGAGCTCTCGTGTGCAGAGCTGTCTTCAGGCTTCTCAGGGAGAGGGAACATCTGCTCCAGAAAGCCAACAAGCGAGGACCTGCTCCAGGCAGCCACAGTGCCTTGGCCGCTGCTGCTCGGGCTCTCTGCTCAGGGTACAAGCAGCACCCTAGTGCCTCAGGCCCCTCACGGGCCAGCAAGCCTGTCCTCACGACGGCTCACACAGCGCTGTGGACTGCTGCAGGCTCTGCCTCGTACTACAGCCTTCTGCTTTTCCAAAGAGATGCCAAGCCTGGGCCATTTTTCGAAGTTTAGCAATATTAGGTTTAATCTATGGGAAGAAAGAGTAACTCCAATTAGCGATATGAATAGCCAGGTGGTACAAAAGTATTCTCCAAGCGTGGCTCTTTAAATCTGTTTGGACTTCTAATGTCTTTTTCTTTTTTTGGCGGAACCAGGGATTGAACTCCGGCCCTTGTGCTTGCCAGGGAAGCACTGATTCTACTGAGCCATCTCCCCCGCCCCGGACTTCTAATTTCTTGACTGAGAAAAGATTACAGAGTTCTTTAGGATTAGTGGGACTATAAACTTAAAAGACAGGATATCATCTCTTCATCAGTGGAGACAGAACTTTTATTTTATTGCTATTTGAAACAGTTTGTAATAGCATAAAATCAACTGGATGAGTCAGGAAACATTAGTACCTACAAATTCTGGGCAAGAAAAGCCACTATAGTCTAGCAGGAAAGGAAAAAAAAGGTTGTAGGAGTCAGTGATGTGGACACCCCTATTTTGCCTTCATGGTCTATTTCTTTTCTCTGTTTCATTTAAGATCATAACAAGAACAGAAAATGTTCTCAAACAACTCTGGGCCTTACTCCATTACCAGCATCACGGTTCCGAGGCTGCAGAGGAAGCAGGGACATGGCAGAGCGTGGAGCCGCCTCCGAAGCTTGGTCTCCTGCCTGATAACCCTCAAACCACAACTCAAGGCTCCTGGTGATGACTAGATCCACCTAACAGCTCACACACACGATCGAGACACTGGACGTCTGAGCTGTATTTCATCAACACTGAATTTGCTGTGCTTCTACCAGCTTTGTCTGCCTCCAGGAAGAATTTCTGTATCCTAACAAACCTAGAGCCTTCAGGAAACAGATGTGCAGCATACCTCAGTCTGCACACGCGTTAAGGTTAAAAATATAGGGGCTGGAGAGATGGCTCAGTGGTCTGAAGCACCTACTTAGAACAAGCTTGGCAAAGCATCAGGGACCGCGGTTCAATCCCCCAGCACCACATGCCAGCCA